TGCTACTTCATTAATTACAAAAGTGCAGACAACTTAGAGATCCATTTTGCTTTATTCCATCACACCCAAAGCCAAAAGATAGTGAATTTTTTGCTCCATCGTAAATGATGGAAAGTAATGCTTTCTGCTGTCTTTCCACCAAATGTTTTTCATTTGCATCAAATGTGGTATTTTGGATATGAATTTTTGTCACCTATTCTTGCTACTAAATTTCTATTCAACCCATGGGCAGGTGGTTTTATCCCAATCAAGTGGTTCAAATAGGGCAGGATTCAAAGTGGTGCCATCTAATGCAAAGAGATCTATCCAACTTGATGGTCTCTTTAATATAATTTCCTATGATATTGTTCCTAAGCTAAAGGATACCTTAATGGCATCAGAATTCAAGGTTTGGTTCTCTAACACTTCTGTCAGATTAGTAAAGGTTGATTATTGACCTAAGTACGGGAGAATACAATGAAGGCTGATGAGTTGTAGTTAATTAGTGCACATTAGTTGGAATTCTTTACCAGCTGCGTATTATTTAAAATTAGGAGCATATTGCTCCGTGATTTAGAGGAGTGGGCTGCTCTCTGTCCAGGCTGACTAAGGCTCTATCTATTTCCTGTTTTCAGTCTTTAGGAAGTAAATTTAGACTTTGTTTTTGTAACACCCCGGCCGTACGGGTTGGAAGTGACTACTCATGAGCGCCCTGAAAACATCCCACGGGGTATTACAGTTTTACTTCTTTAAAATCAGTGGTGAACATTGGCAATGTTCTGAAAAAAGTAACTTAAAGTTGAAAACCGGTCCGGGCATCGACCCGGACAAGCAACTAGGTTAAGGGCTAACCGGTCGAACTTGTCAACTCGGGTCAATGACCTGGTCAACTATATTTAAAATAACCATTTTATACTATACTAATATAGATATCTTTAGTTAATAAATGAATGTAAATTTGTGTTTTTTCTCTTTTCAATCTAGTTTCCATACTTTCTATTTTTATTATAATTAGTAGATATATCTTGATTTTTTCTAGATTATAATATGTGTTTAGGCATAAATTATTTATTATTAATTTAAGATAATAAAACAAATAATGTTGATTTTTTACTTTGAACTATCAACTATTTTGAAAGTGCAAAAAATAAATACACTCCACAAACATTTTATTTTACAAATAGTTACAAGTGTTTTTAAAATTTATGCAACTCATATATCATAGAGACAATTTATACTCTATTGCATGATTGGGTGACAAGGTGTTTAGTACGAGTAATATATTAAGGGGTTGAGTATTGGTGAGTTAAGTGTTAAGTCTTTGGTTCGAATTCCACTCTCAACATTTTATTTTGTAAAAAGACAACTCAAGGGAAAAAGTTTTTGGTCCAAACCCATGGCCGAGATGTTTGACCCGGTCTGCCGGGTCCATTGCGTTTTCTGCGTTGGGGCGGGTCAATGCAATGCCGGGTTGAAGTGTTGAATCGGACCGGATTGCTATGCATTTCACGGTCTGACTTGTCAGACCGGCCGGTCCTGTCTGGTTCTAACAACATTACTTCTGCCAAACGGGCTTTATTTTTTTTCCAAAACCCGTCCAAACATGGCCAGATTTTAATTACCTTACTACAAAAATCTAAACATATCTAAAATAATTAGAAAACAAATGCTCCATAAATTCCCGCAATCACTTGTTCCATGTTCAATAAGCTTAATGATGACAAATTAAAACCAACCATCTGAACCAAGTTCAATGACATAGGCTATGTTGGCAACACAAAAAGTACATATGACCAAAGTAAACTTATTTGAGTGGAAGTCTCCTTTTAGGTGTGTTATGTAAAAATCTTTTCAGCTAATTTTAGGAGGTATCATTCGTAAGAGTTGGTTAGAATAATTAGAGCATATTATGGCAGATAAGTACTAGTCCTGTCTGATTAGGGCAGATTACTTGGAATTTTTGAGCAAACAATTTCTGTCCATTGTGGGTTTTGAGCCACACTAAAAATAGAAATCCATATAACTGATAAAATGATCTAGTTGCTAAAAGGGAACATTTTCATCGAAGTGCTTAATCTAAAAGCTCATTAATTGCTAGAAACTTTTTTTTAGCTAATGTATGTGTGTTCAGGTAGTTATTGCTGATGAATCACACTTTTTGAAGAATGCCCAGGCTAAACGAACCAATGCATCACTTCCTATAATGCAGGTAAACCTCCATCAAGAAGGGAAAAAAACTATATACATATAACCACTCTGTTTGTGTTTATCATATGGTGAGAAGTAAATGTTTAGCGTACATTTATTGCTTATTGAATAAGTTGAGGAAATAAGTTTCTGTGAACATTTTGAGTCAGTAGACTTTATATATAGTATGTACATGTATTATGTAACTCAATCCTATGACGTAGCCTTAAGTTTGAGATTATTCGTTAGTGTCAAGTAATGCAAACAGATTTTTGGCTGCTTAAAAGTCTTTGTCCTGGACTCTAAACCAAAAATGAGCATTTTAGAGTCAAAATGAAATTGCAATGCAATTGATTGAGACTTAACCCCTTCCCCCATGCTCTAAGCTCCCATTTAAGATTCTTCATCCCGTTAAACTAAGGGAGTTTGGGTTTCATTGGTGTCTCGCATTATTGCCTATTGCAGAAAGCCAAATATTTGATACTGCTTAGTGGAACTCCTGCTTTGTCAAGACCAATTGAGCTTTTTAAACAGGTATATTTGGACATGAAACTTTATATAGTTTGTTGTTATATTCGACACTATTGTTTGCCGCCGCTTCAACGGTTGTACTTCACAGCTGGAGGCCCTGTTTCCTGATGTTTACAAAAATGTTCACGAGTACGGTAACCGTTATTGCAAGGGTGTAAGTTTTTTGTTATTGTCAGGTAACCTTTCTCTTCCTTAGGATGCTATTACTTTTGTTTAACTTCTGCATCAATGATTCTAGGGCTTTTTTGGAGTTTATCAAGGCGCCAGTAATCACGACGAGCTGCACAACTTGATGAAAGCAACTGTAATGATTCGCAGGTTAAAAAAGGATGTCCTCCCACAGCTTCCTGTTAAGCGCAGACAACAGGTACTATTCTAGATCCTATTCACGTCTTGGTTATGATTTTTGTGCTTTCGTTAAAGGACAACATTCACTTTAGAGTAACTGGTCCTTTCTAATAAGGTGTTTTCTCAAATCAGACCTCAATAAGCAATAATTACCTACGTGGTACTTTATAGTTGAGATCTATTTCCTTGATAGTCCTCCTTCAATCCGTTGTATGGGGGTAGCTTTGTACTTTCCATCATCTATACTTAATGTAAGTTCTCAAAACGGTCTTTTCTAATTTAGTGTTTTCTCAAAATTGCCCTTTCTAATTAAGGGGGTGTATTAAATTTGAGTTTTTAAAGATATTGTCAGATTTGTAATAATCCATGTATTATGTAAAGACAATGAATAGTTTAAATGTACACAGAGTTGTATAGATTTTGATGCATTTCATTATTCTGTATCAAGATTTGTTTAGATTCTATAAGCTCATATATTATGCCAATATCAATAATTGATTATAGATAGACAAATAAATAACAATTATAGAATACAAAATAAAATAATTATTACTTCTAGCAAAAGATTTAAAACACATGGATAAAAAAGAATCAATACGTAAGAAATAAAATGAATTTATTTTCCAAAGAGAAAACAAATTATAGTTACTATTCTTTCTATGAGGGGGTGCTTATTGAGGATTGATTTGGAAATACACCTTACTAGAAAGGACCATTTTGGAATTCTCTTCACTTTATTTTTACTATGTTCATATTTACTATTCTTTCTATAATTTTATTATTATAACAGAAGTTTGTTCTATTTCATATGACATGAGATATTCTTTGTCTGGTTTTCTATGTCTGTGCTCACCTCAATTTCTAAAACTCATATCCAGGTTTTCTTAAACTTGGAAGAAAAGGAGATGAAGTCTATCAACGCTTTATTCCGTGAGGTTGTGGTAGTCAAAACTTGTGGAAGTATATGCTGCTTGAAAAGTGTTAACAAGCAATTTTTTTTACCCTTACAAATTTTAGTGGTAAAAATGCTTTGAAATGTGGCATTATTGTTTCGAAGTAAAATTTAATTGTGTTTGTGATGGTCCTTCAGCCTAAACTGTTTCTACAGCGAGTTAATTGTTTTCTCTTCATTGCCACAAAGGTTCTTTTCATGTGAATTTTCTACTAAGTTGCCAATTTGACATCATTATAATGTTGCTTTAGGGGCTCTTCTTCTTTTGCATTTACTATCAACACATTTTGAAGTAATGGCAATTCCATTTCTAGCATCGACTTAAACTTTAGCAGTTGAACCATTTTAGCGATATTGGAAAGTAGAAAAAACAGTGCATATTATGTGTTCCAAAAAGATAATGAAAACCGCAGTTGTTTTTATAGCTTGAACATTTTCCAATCTTGCATCTTCTTTCTTGTAGTTGGAGCTTGTCAAAGGAAAAATTAAATCAAGCCAATCCAAGGATGATTATGAATCACTAAAGTTAACCGAGAAGAATCTTATAAATAAGGTATGTAGTTGCAGTACATTGTGTATTATTTATCAACTAATGAATCAAATCATAAGGCAACTGTAGTTTCTATTATTAAGCTTAGTTGAACACTTGAACTTAGTTGAGCAAAAAAAGAAATATACTCATATTGAAGTGCTCAATGTCTGATTCTCTTATAGTGCTTAGTCATTCATTTTATTACGTTTGTCAAACTCTTTGAAACATACCCGCGTGTTTTTTTTACTTGGACAGTTTTTGACTGATTTCATTTTCCTTTATTGCATGATTACTCTTTTAAGATATATATTGCTTCTGCGGAGGGCAAGATTCCATCGGTTTTGGATTACTTAGGAACGGTTATTGAGGTATGTTGACCTTCTATACATTGTCCCCAGTCCAGCTGTACCTTGGAAGGTTCTTTTATTTTTAGTCGGGAAATGGAAAAGGTACTATATTCGTAGTTGTTTTTCACAGATCTAGTACTTTGTCGGAGTTTAGTTAGTTGAAAGCACCCATCTAGTTGAATATTGGTCAAATCAGTTATGTCCTGCTTTAAAATGTTATAAAATATCCAACCTAACATGCATGAGAGACAACGATCTCCTTAGTTCAACTACCTGTTGCCTGTAGAGTGTACTGTTCTTGATATTCCTTGATAGTCTAACGAATGCATCATAGGACATAAGAACATGCATAAAGCTACATTAGTCTTGCTCTCCAAGCTGTGCTTAATTTTCAGTTTCTCAACTGGACAGGCAGACTGCAAGTTCCTTATATTTGCTCATCACCTACAAATGATTGATTCGATACACCAGTATTTGCTTGTAAGAACTTGGTAATTTGCTCTCAATGAACTTTTTGGAGGTAGTAAATTCTTACCAGATGTCATATAATATATGCAGAAAAAGAAAGTTGGCTGCATTCGCATTGATGGCAGTACTCCGGCAGCATCACGTCAAGCTTTGGTTACAGATTTCCAGGAGAAAGAATCAATAAAGGCTGCAGTGGTACTTTCAGCGCCTCCTTTACTTTCATTCAAAAATATTTTATCTTCTTATCTGCTTTCCATATAATTATTCAATATACATAGTACTTTGCATTTGGTCCATTAGTGGAATATGATCTTCACAAACTATTTTGGTCTTAAGCTATCTATCAAAGCCGGAGGTGTTGGATTGAATTTGACAGCAGCAAGCACAGTCATATTTGCAGAGCTATCTTGGACTCCGGGTGACCTTATTCAAGCAGAAGATCGTACTCATAGAATTGGCCAGGTGATTTATGATATTGCTAGATATACAAATCTCAGACTAACATTTGATGTTTTGTAACCAATTACTATTATTGTATTAAATTTCATTTAATTAACCTTCTGTTCGGGCACACGCGTACCACATTACTCTTCGCTTACAGTTTTCTTTCTTTATTTCTCTCTCTCTCTCTCTCTCTCTCTCTCTCTCTCTCTCTGTCTCTGTCTCTGTCTCAGTCTCTCTCTCTCTCTGTCTCCCTCTGTCTCCCTCTCCCCCTCTTTATATGTGTATCAGAGTATGTGTGCAGATATGAGTATTTATGTGTATACAACTATACATAATACTTATGAATGTATACGTGCATGCACACACACACACAGATGCATATATATTTACTTACGCAATACAATGTATCTTGTTTTAGGCAGCATCGGTCAATATATACTATCTTCTGGCAAATGACACCGTTGATGACATAATTTGGTATGTCTGTTTATTAAATTATACATTATACTACATTAGCGAATATTTAATTTTGCACATTTACCGCAATACATTTAACAGTAGAATGAGATTTTTGAGTTTTTCTGATTTTACCTATATTAATGTTGAACTCATTTTAACATTTTCCAGGGATGTTGTTCAAAGTAAACTGGAAAATTTGGGACAGGTTCATTTTAACCCCCCTTCACTTTCCCACCCCACCACCACTACACACACATATTCACTTGCACAAGTTACACACAGTTGGAAATTTACTTGATGATGGCAGCTGAAGCTTAGGGACAATTGTGGTGCTTCCATACTAAAATATCTCCATGATTTGTAGATGCTTGATGGAGAAGAGAAGTCTCTAGAAGTATCAGCAGGTCACTCAAATAAAAGTCCTAGGAAACAGAAGACACTTGATTCCTTCATGAAGCGTTGCAGCACCCCATCATTGGACAATGAGCCGATGCCAAAATGCCCGCGGCGTTAATCATTAACGAAAACTATTAGTGTTGGAACATTTGTTTTGGAAAGTACTGTTTCAAATCAACCCTTCACTATACTGTATCTTCTATGGTCAGTTTGTGCATTATTTTTGGTATTATGCATGGTGCTCCTATTAGTTGAGCCTGCATGTTTTCTCATTTCTTAAAAAAATGGGCATTTTTTTGGGAAATTCCTTGTTGAGAAATATGGCAAGACATGAGAAAACACTTCTTTTGTCTATCTTGACTAAAGATACACAAGATAGACAACTCCCAAGGGGGTGGGGGTCAGGGTGGTGGTTTAGGTGGTTTATCGAGAGAGTTAAAGGGGTGGTTTATCGAGAGAGTTAAAGGGGTGGGAATCATTAATTTTACAAATGGGGCACTGTAGGGCCCTCAACATGAAAAGAGTTTGGCGCTAAATATATGAGTGTTTCTCCACTTGCTTTTAGATGCAAAAAAGAATACTCACTCTGAATTCTGTCACTTTTTTTCAACTTGAAGTAGAGGAACTAGTCTTATGTGCTTGAAATTTTCGTACTAATTTTTTGTCAAACTCGACTTGTGAGGCAAAAACTTTAAAAAAAAAGTTTGGTGCTAAAGATATGATGGTATAAATGTTCTGGGTCCGCCCCTGACCACACCTTAAAAGCTAGCTGCTAAGGTGGGAGAACCTTTGGCTATATAAACCCATCACCAAGTCCCCATTTGGCTATATAAAATATTCTTCCCATTTGACTTTTCTTAGTCAAAGTTTGTAACTTTAATATTAATATATTCATTTTGAAATATAGTTTTCAAATATAAATTTATTATAAAATATATCCATGTATAAATAAAGGATATTAGTGGTCAAAGTACAATCTTGGAGACCGTAAAAAGTCAAATGCGAAGAACATTTCCAGACGGAGGGAGTATATATTAATGAAAATACTAAATAAAATAGTTCTACATTGTAAATGTGAAATACATCTTGCAATTGATAACGACTAGGTTTCATATTTTGAAAGTGATTTATTATTTTATCATTGCTAATACTAACAAAGACATCTCTTTCAATATATGTCACTAGATAATCATTTAACCAATGGTCACAAATTTTGTTTCGAACCTCATTCTTAACATATTCACAAATCACAATCTTACAAAATAAATAAACGAATTCAATTCCCTATTCTGCTATTCACAATAACAAATTTATAACAATTAATTAAAATTTTCACAATTTACAAATAAAAAAAGAAATATCTAATTTCTAGATTCAATTGTATAAGAAGAAGAAGAAGAAGAAGAAGAAGAAGAAGAAGAAGAAGAAGAAGAAGAAGAAGAAGAAGAAGAAGAAGAAGAAGAAGAAGAAGAAGAAG